CAATCACTTGATGCTTGGAGCAGCGTTATATCGCGATCTTCGCGACATCAGCTACAATTGCGTCAAATTTTCAAGGAATCTTGCCGCCATCTGTCAATTTAAGTGATATCCTTCCACATAATTTATCAACTCTTAGGCTGTTGCCGTCGCCATCTATTCTTATCGATCTGCGTTACTTGCTGCTTATCAAAAATGGTATTTTTTATTTTTCCTTCCACAATCATGAACCATAATTGTAGACAGTAACCAATATACACAATAATCAAATCTTATTAAAATACTTAGTAAATACCTAGCATAGTTAGCAAATGGTTGGTAAAATCGGTTCTAATAAAGTGAGGAGATCATTTATTTATCCCGAATATATAGACACTAACCACATCGGAATATCTAAAATTTATTATGACCCCTGATCAGAACAACGATTGCATCAAAACAACAAAATATCACCAGTCCGATCTGTTTTGGTCACAAGTAGAATTGAGAGTGGAATTGGTAGAACTCACTGATGGGAATATTTTATCAATGACCTCATTCAAGAGAAGCATTTATTGACCGACATTGGTGCTGATACTCTGGATGAAGTAACCGAAGAGAACACGGTTGTCTTTGCGCACCCGGTCGATGGTGACCTCCAGATTGCTGAACTCGTAAGACGTTTTCGTCAACCATTCATAAACTCATCGCACTTTCAAATCTGTTCAATCCTCATAACGCTGACGCATTCGACGAACATGTCGACAATACCGAACCGGAGTACCTAGCAACATCGGCTCCAATAAAATGATGAGTTTATTCGTCACATTCAAAAATTCGATGCATTGTAAAATGCTGTGGATAGGAATCGTCTCGTTTCAAAGTTGTACCATTTCAGGAAACAGCAATCGCCACCACAGGGCTTTCATCTGAACATGATCTGCATGGCAACATTTTTCTAACCGAATCACAGCCGAACATACGTATTATCGCATTCAAACGCTCCTATAATAACGACTTCTATGAATTCAAGCTGAAAAATGTCACTCGATTAGTAACGATGTCAGATGCATTCGCACTTGAATCACTTGCTTTCTATGGAACACATTCACGCTATTTAAGAATCCACTGATATTCCTCCAACGTGCTCATTGGGCGACTCTGATTTAGTTGAATTAAATCCCGAGATGTGACTGAACGGTTCAATCAGAGCGAAATAGGAATCTCAAAATGTGAATTCGATTGAATTCCTATCAAAAAATCGCGAAATTCGATCGGATTTCGAAATGTCGGAATGTTTCATATGTGATTAATAATAATGAATATGTGAATGATCGTTCAACGCGCACCGCTACCTTGCAACAATTGACCTAGTTGCGTTAAAATAATCAATTCTCAAGTAAAGTGGTCATTTTCAATTATAACTTATTACATTACTGAGAGTGGATCAGAATTGATGTGATCGCATCGTTTATGCAATAAAACGACCAACTTTTCATAATAAATCCATTGTGTAGTGGATATCAGTCAATACCTGCTGAGTGTTCTCGCGATTTCAATCAACAAAATAAATTCAAACAGCTGATTGCCAGTACCACCGCCTTGACTGGCAGCCGCATACGATAATTCCAGATACTTACAGTCGTCGTTTAGCGTGGTCCTGAAACTTCCATTAGTTTTTCCATTAACTGATTGTGAGCTCAACAAGTTGTACCCTGCAGGTGTTGAGTGTTCTCGCGGAGCTGAATGCGTTTGCGAACCGAACGCATTCAACGCCGATCACTTCGATCTAAAATTGAAGTGATCGGCGCTGGATGTGTTTGGTCCGCAAAAAAAACTCTTTTAGTCATAAAAAAGATAATTGAAGTTAGCAGAATCGATGGCAGTTTGCGATATGTCATTGTCACGTTCATTAACATAAAAAATGAACGTGATAATGACATATCGCAAACGAGAATCGATGGCAGTCTTCGATAACTTCTCAGGTTGCATTTGTTCTGATGTAGCGATCATTGGCTGAAATATTCACAAAATAAATTAATCGAATTCTTTCAAACAATTCTTTAATATTGCCTTCAAATCGAATTCTTTCAAACAATCAATGGCTGCAAATTGGCTGCAAGAATTGGCTGCAAACAGTGCCTGATATTTCGTCTAACGACAGTTCGTCTAAAGAAATTCCGTGTTATAGGCAGTTCGTCTAACGGACAGTATGTCTAACGGACAGTTCGTCTAATGCAGTGCCTGATGGGCATGTCTCTTTGTTAGGTGCAACCCTTCAGAACGTGTTGGGAATATTCATGTCGTCGTTATCATTAGAACACCTCTACATATCGAAGTTCAATATTTTGATGGTTCCAATTAAAGTCAAGTTTTGACTAATTCAGTTACCAACAGCAAACAACGCGTCTAGCTTATCTTTATCAGCTTCAAATTTGAAATTGAACTGGTTAAATATAATGAAATTATTCAAAGCAATTAATACAACTATTACTGACATG